TTAAACCGACAATGGAATTAGGGGCTGAAGAAATCAATGCGTTGCAAGGTTGCAAGACCCAGTTCGTTGATGACCACACGATGCCATGAGGTTTTCCCTACTTTCGCCAATGGTTTCTAAATTAGAGAAAGAGAAGTGGTAGAGGGAGCGTTGCTTCTCCTATATGTACCTCTACGCTGCGCGTGACCTCATCATGAAGATTATCTCATCGCTGGTTAGGTGCGTGTGCTTGGCGCGCCTCGCTGCTCCACGTCGACGCGACCTGCATCTTCTGCCCTGATAACTTCCTGTGCTGCTGCTGCTGCTCTCATTCCTTCATCTTCTGTACTGATGTTGCATCTGCACTCAATACTTTATGCGATTAATACTTCTGTTGTTGCTAATGACATTTTTTTTTGCATCTTCACTCAATACAGGGGTGACTTAATGCGATTAATACTTCTGTTGTTGCCAATGAAATTTTTTTTGTGGGACACCTAATGTTGGATTTTTCATCTTTTTACATTTACCGTTCTTTGGTGGAACTTACGCCCTAAAGTCATAGCCGCTCCTAGCTTCTTCTCGCTGCAGTTTCTCACCGCTTCCTTGCTGAATTTGTTCCTTCACGTCTGTCCATTAGTGCCGAAATCCTTGCTGCTATCACCAATTCTGATCTTACATCTCTAATTTCCTGCCTGAGCTGCGACTCCGTTTCTTCTATTCTTCAAGTTCTGTGTACAAGAGGAGTGCAATGCGCTTGCGTCGGTTAGCGTTTAGCACGTGCAACTTTAAATTCATCACGCACCTTGAGCATGGGAACGTTAAATCTATACACACGTGCAACACAAAAGTGCTCAGCAAGTATCATTGACGCAGTTACTTCCTGTGTGGAATCTCTGCAACTTCCCATGTTGTTTGTTACCTTGCATCATATTTATTTATGTCTAGGTTACTGTTTAGGTATTTGTATAAAATTTTCAGAGGATCTATTAACAATTGAACCTGGATCGTAAAATGTTGTATGTGCCATTCTTTGATGATCATAGGTACTATTACTAATGTATTTGCAAATTTGAACTGTGTTAAAATTTACTTTTTTTTATTTGTTCATCGCTTGATTTTTTAACGCAGACGTTTTGCGATCAACGCTTGATTTTGGATGTTAACTTACCTCTAAATACGCCGCTTGCACCTATAGGCATAGATAAAAATGTATACCTCCAGATACAATGTTAATTCAAAGTCCATTTGTCTCCGTACGTAAAGTGAATTTGCAGTCAATATTATTAACACTGATCTGGCAGTTTTAATGGTAATTGTGAGCGCGGTCGGTTGCGGTTGCTTTCCCGTGTTGACCGTGCGCGTTAGGGAGCTCCTCCCCCCTTGTATACCCGCGGTTGAGTGCAGGGCATCTCTGTGAGGTCCCGTTATTGCATGGCGTTGCTGACCTCAATACCCACATCGCTAATACAAGCCTAACAAAATGCACCTTGCCTTGCTGAGCTCAACGCGTCTTCACCTTGCGGCATGCGCTGCACCTATAGTGCGCGTTCACTCCAGTCAACAAACAACAAAATGAAAATACAACTGGAATAACAGGGTTAATTTCATTAGCTTTATTCGTCAGTGCAATTCTATTTCTACCCTTATGTGCCGTGTATAGATATTGGTTGTGAACGAAATCAGTTTGTGATGATTTTGAATATTCTTATTATGTGTTGTTCACCGTTTCATGAACACAATTATTTGAATGGAGCTGCATTGTTTAACTATTTTCTGCTTGAAGAATACATCGTCAATAATTAAGGCGCATTTGTGTCATGTACTCAATGCCACCAGCTCCGAGAACGCTCGGCTTCCACCGAAGGCCATTTTGTTATACGATCGTATTATATGTTATTTGTCACTGAATAGTGCGGGGGAAGCACGCAAATATTTTTTGTCTAAAATGGCTATTGCATCCTTTCATACGTGACCTGGATGATAAGGCAATGAAGGGAATTAATAGGAGATCAACCTAGAAGTGAAATGCTTACTTTATGTTCCATTGGCGTTCACATCGTTCATCTGTAGACGGGATCACTGCATGCATGCATGTAATGATTTTCGCCAGGTAAATCTAACGTGGTGTGCGTGTAGAAGTTACGTAACGCTGCATGAGTTTGAAATGTACTGTGTTAAGCACGCAATGTATAATTCGTACGCATTGCTTAAGCTCGCATCGCATGCAACACTCACTTGTTCTCCATGTCTGTAATAATGCGAGTTTGGACACACGCCCTGCGATGCTGATCGACGATTTAGAAGGCGGTTGCGCGCATCAGTCGTGACGTTGAAACTTCCGGTGTGGGATATGATTCTCATGCATAGCTTTTTACTCCTGATTATAACGTTCATTTGTACTTTGCCAGCTTAATGTTATGATACATTTGAATTAACTACAATTTTGGAGAATAGTTAAGATTCAGATATTTGCTCTATTTTATAATTTATTTTGTTGTGCCGAAGTTGTTGGTTTAAATTTACATCTTGTTTGTATGTTTAATTGCTGTAACCTGCAAGTTTTTTTTACAAGTTTAATTTAAAAATATGGCTGAGTTTGCAACCAATAACATTAATGGATTCGTTGTAAATTTTAGACGAATTTGCGTTACGAGCGTGACCAGCTCGAGCTTGAACGTTTCTCCTCGCATTGTCTGTTCCTCAAAATAGCTTAGGCGCCACATCTATGGCCGTCACAGCTGCGTTTTAATGCTCACAAGTGTGAAGTACTTCTAATTAACAAAAAACTGCAAAATCGCATTATGAAAAGACATGGTTTTAACGAGAGAGTGATGATTTCAAAGTCGACAATGGACAAGGATTCGAGAGTTGATGCCGAAAATGAGTTGAAATTTTCTAAGCTCATTGAAACGCAAGTTAATAAATCCAATAACATACTTGGAATGATCAGACGCTCTTCTAAGTACCTATAGATGCAGAAGCGATAAAGCTGTTGTGCGCCCATACTTGGAGTTTGGAAACGCTGTGTGGTCTCCGAAACTTGAAAAAAGGACAAAAAATTAGTCGACCAGGTTACTGCATGCAGTAACCATGTGCAACAAGGTTACTTCCAGGCTTGAAGGAAAGTCTTATGAAGATAAGAGATTACGAAGATTCTAAGTCATTGTTATCGACGTTTGCGTGGCGATCTAATCGAAGTATACAATTATATATACATGTGTTTTATAAAAAAAGTATCAGAAGGATTCCTAGCATATGAAAGAAGACCAATTCCAGAGGCCAGGGCTAAAAAAAATCTGCTGTGCAACTCGTCCACACGACAACACTTCTCGCTTCGAGTCACCGACATTGCATGACATCGTTGACACTCCGAGTGAACGCGTTTAAGAACTTGCTTGAGGAAGTTATGCTGAGGAATATATGTTCAGACTCTAAATGCCTAGTACCTTACGGACCTGGAATAGTCCAATAGCTATTTAAAACTATCGTCAGATTTGAAAAGATCCGGTCAAAGGACCTGGTTTTAGATCTCCTGTGAACAAGTCACGAAAAGTACAAGAATCGGCGACAGTCCACACCAGGCCTATACTTCAGCGCCGACAGTGCTGTTATGTTATATTATTACTATCATCACATCAGTGACACTTCCATTGTAACGCGGAGAAGGACTTGCAGCTTCGACTGCTAGCCATTTAATTTGACAGATGTTGACCTATCGTGAATTATTGTTGGAACAATTTGCTTTCGCTCCTCCTTCGAAATTATTTTTTCTCGTAGAATTAAAAATTTTCATTTCCTGCTGCTCCGATTTGAAAAGCGTTGGATCATTTCATTGGCATTGTTCAAATTCTTTCTTGATTGTCATCGTCTTTTTTCGAACATTTTTATCCTTTTGAGTCCGTATATAACTATATATACTTCCTAGTCACGTCTTCACGTTCAGTGTTGATCGCTTTGTCGAATATTTTTGTCTAGATAACGAATTATATTTGTGTAATGTTTTATGAGTGTGTGTTCATTGTGATGCCAGACATGGTTTCTTTGTACGCCACGTCCGTTTGTGCGGATCAGGCATGGTTCATTGCGGTGTAGTAACTTGGGCTTTCCGGGATGTCGGGTGTGCGGGCGAGTTTGCGCTACTTGTGACACGTGACACTTATACGGTTGTGCGGGTGTGTTGGACGATGCTCATCACACTTGAAGAATCCGCTTAGTTTCTATTGGTAGTATAAGGCTGTGTTGGATGTGCTTGTTTGACTTTACACGCCAAATGACACACGTGATGTACAGAGCTAGCACAATTGTTGAAAAAGATCTTCCACTGTAAACTTCAGAGAGTTTTAATTCTCTTTGACGGTCATCTTTATTTTGAATTGCAGACACAGGAGGAGCCTCACGATTTGTGTTGTTAATGCAAACGCATGTGAACGGCGCATAAACGGAAATGAATTGTTTATTTGGAATATGGCTCATGTATATATTACAGATTCATCACGATTCGAAAAGTAAAGTTCATAGTATGAGAGACCTTTTCCTGTTGTCACGCAACATGAAACACCGGCGGCTGGAAGAAAGCACGATCTGCTCTAATTTTCAGTTCGTTTCGGTCTGAGCGCTTTGTGTCGCGCTACGGACCGGCTTTCGAAGACGTTCAGTTATTTTCATTTGTTCTCGATTTTGTGTCATGGGAGTCGTAGCGTCTTCATTTGCACTGAACTGCCCTGTCATTGAATCTTCGGATCATTTTTCTGCAGAGAATTAGCGTGAAAATGAATTTAGTCATATGAATGTGTTCAGTTTCAAGTGCTACGCGTTAATTTGTTTGTTAGAGACATATTTTTAGTTGTTGTCTATTGCGACAAATCAACCAAATGTATGATTTTATTGTGCTTGTTCTTTCATTCGGCAACGTATTAGTCGGTTTTATATTTTTCTCGTCAATTTTTCATGTGTGAAATGGTCTTTTGCTGTTTGTTTGCGACTAATAATATTAAATTTAATATTGTTTTCCTCAATAGGGTGACGGCGAGTCTGCTCCTGAGACTCCACCTCCAGAGTTCGCTCCTGACGCCCCAGATGCTAAAGACGTCGCAGGTCCAGAGAAGCCCCTCAAGTCCAAAAGCAAAAAGCACCAGTCAAATGGCGTCCATAAGGAAGCTTCAACCGCTGAGGGAGGCCCCGCCATAAGCATTCAAATGGACATAATCAGTGCTACCCTTTTCATGGTCTCCTTCGCCATCAGGCTGTGGCGACTAGACCATCCGAAAGGCATTGTGTACGTTCAGTTTTGGTCATGAGGTCTGAGGGATAGGAATAAACATGACCAAAAAAGTGTGTGTTGTAATATAGTTTAGGCGACGTGCGGGTTGAGACAATGCAATGTTTTGGTGGTATTATCATAGCCGGTTAGGTTGAATATATTAATATATTTTTATTTGTTTTTATTATATGCTTACCAGTTACTTAAGATTTCTTTTACGTTGAGTTTATAAAATAATGCTCTATTAAGATGCAATGCGGACATGTTGCTATCAGATCTTTACGATAATGTAGCTATTACGTTCATTAATACTTGTCTTTCCGATTTGGGCTGTTTTTCCCTCACATTATTAGTTTCATATTAAAAAATGACAGGTTATGGAAGAAGCTAGTTTGTTGCGCTCTTACTGTTGGTTTTTATGGTGTGCCATGAATTTTTGGTAGATTTTGATTGTTCTCAAAGTATTGCTTTTGAAAGAAGTTGAGCTTGAGGAATTAAGAATGTGTAAGTTGCAACCTCCATGCTTATGTTATTTTTCTGGAATGCTAATGTTTTTATGGATGTGTTATGTGTTTAGTTATGTTCCAGTACCTAAATTCTACGATAGTTTTGTTTATTCCGACTATCGTGTGCAGATTTGACGAGCTGCACTACGGCAAGTATGCGGGCCACTACCTACAGAACACATTCTTCTTCGACTCGCAGCCGCCCTTTGGCAAACAGATGATCGCACTCGCTGCCTACATCGCTGGTTACGATGGTCAGCCAAGTTTGAGATTTTTAACGATTATTACTTTATCAAGAAAAGAAATATTATTCGTATATCCATTATTGTTTTATTGACTGTATTTCTTTATGTGTAAATGTTATATATTTCCATAAATAGATATCGTTTTATTGCTTATAGAGAGGTAACCGGAAGTTGTTAGGTTTCCCGGTTCCGCTTTGTTCGACACGATAATTCGAAAAGTTGACCGGTTGTAGTACCCGCAACACGCGACGTATTGATATATGAAAGCTTCATGATAACGTTACATTAATGACGTTGCTGACATATAATGAATGACATTAATGACGTTGCTAACGTTAAAATGAATGACATTAATGACGTTGCTGACAATAAAATGAATGACATAAAATGACGTTGCTGATATTAAAATGAATGACATAAAATGACGTTGCTGACATTAAAATAACATTAATGACGTTGCTGACATTAAAATTACTAAAGTGCCATTGCCTGTTACAGGATCATTCAAGTTTGATCGCATCGGAGGTCCGTACGACGCGACGGTACCGGTGTTCGCCATGCGGTTGGTGCCTGCGTTCTTCGGGGCGCTGCTCAGCCCGACGGTCTACAAGCTCATGCAGGAGCTGGGCAGCTCCCAGCCTGCCGCCCTACTGGCCGCCGTGCTCATCGTTCTGGGTGAGTTATATAAATTATTATTATTAATAATTATTAAATTATTTTAATAATTAATGATATTAAATTAAGTTATTATTATTACCTATTTAACTTAAAATTAAATTAGTCTTGTTTAATAATTCTTTATCATATGTACTAGTATCGTTTATTATATACCTCCATATCCTGAAAATCAGTACATATTTGGGTGTGGGTATATTTACCTGTTTTTTCAACGATTTGGGTCTTGAATTCTAAGTACGCAGAAGCAAGTTTAATGTTGGTTCGAGGTATGTTGTTAACAGCTAAAAAATTTTAACACATCTAAGCAATAGCATATACAGCATTTTTCTGAATTATTATTTTTTACTTCATTCAAGTATCCTTTGACTTACCGTGCCAGAAAACGTTCTTGTTCAGACATGCTTGCTCCTGTTATGGCGCTTGTGGTTCTGATATTGAAGCTTATTACCTGCCTTTCTTTGCATTAATTTGACCACTTATAACTGACTTTTAACTTATCGTTTCAGACAACGCGGTGGTGATCCAGACTCGCTACATTTTGCTGGAGGGTCCCCTGCTATTCTTCGGTCTAGCGGGAGTGTTGTGCGTGCTGCGGCTGCGACGATACTACAAGCGGCCCTTCTCGCTGCCCTGGTTCCTGTACCTCATCGGTGCTGCTGTTCTCCTCACGGCTGCTGCCTGGTCAGTTTTGTTTACATGGTGTTGCGCTCAATTCAAGTAATTGATAATTTCAATAGATTATTTGCAAATACTATAATTCAATTCAATCCGAATTAGTCAAGTTTAATCTTCAAATACAAGGGACGAAGTAAAATACATAGGGGATCCAATCTTTATGAGTAGAAAGTCCGATTTAAGAAAGATTGAAGTGATACGATTAATAAATAATAATAATTAGTGATCATGTTGAACCAAGCGAACGTTTCAGTAAAAAATTTGCCCACTGTCAACCAAGATTCATCCAGGGGGATTTTCTTGCTAACAAAAATTGCTAAAACAGTAAGATAAAATTAATATAAATTTTTTTGGAATAGTTGGGTTACTGAAAAATTTGAATGACGAATTTAATGTGAGCTTGTGAACTATTAAACATTAAAATGAAAGGTGTTGTATTTCAATTCTTCCTAATCGTCAAAAGTCTATGATGCTTAAGATATTCTTTTTAGAGTGGTAGAAATGGTTTTAATTAACGACTTGTGGAAGATAGTTTCTTCCTTTGTATCCCAACGCTTGTAATTTGTCTTTCCTTGTGCAGCATACAATATTTTGTGACGTTTTCATTCTCGCTGGGCGTCGTTTTTATTACCTACGCCTTATAGAAGAAGGTTTTCCCCTTGGATGCCAATTTTTCTTTCATCGTGCAGCGTACACTACTTTAGGCTGTTTTGGTTCACGCTGAATGTTGTCATCTCAACGTACGACTTCCGAAGGATAATTTCTCCCTCATTAATCCCAATGCTGTTATTATTATTTCTATGTGCAGCGTACAATACTTGGGCAGCGTACGGGCTATTCTTGTTCATGCTGGGTATCGGCATTGTGACGCACGAATCTGAAAGATGTATTTTTCCTTTTGGAAGACATTTTTTTATTTTGCTGTGCAACGTATGATACTTTAGGCTGTTTCCTTTCATGCTGGGTGTCGGCGTCTTTACGTTACGCACAACATCTGGGTTACGCAAGTTTTTTTTCCTTTTGGATGACAGTTTTTCTTTCTATGTGCAGCGTACGATACTTAGGGCTGTTTTCTTTTATGCTGGGTGTCGGCGTCTTTACGTACAACATCTGGGAGAAGTTTTTTCCTCTTGGATGATGGTTTTTCTTTCTATGTGCAGCGTACGATACTTTGGGCTGTTTTCATTCATGCTGGGTGTCGGCATCCTGACGTACGACTTCTGGGAGATGGTGGGCGACCGCAGTGTGGCGGACAGACAGCTACTGGCTCACTGCCTTACCCGCACTGCCATCTTCATTAGTATCCCGGTGACGCTCTACCTCTCTTGCTTCTACGTGCACCTCTCCCTCCTCTACAAGGCGGGACCCAACGACAACATCATGACATCTGCCTTCCAAGCCAGTTTAGAGGTCAGTGCAGCATTCTCATGTAGTTTATTTCTTTAATGTTGCAAACTTGAATATACAAAAGCTCAAGAAAAGAACATTGAGAAGTTATGAACCTCATCTAGTCCATAAATAAAGATTTATATAATTATTGTACGTATATGATAATTTAATTGTTGTCATCCAGATGCTTATTTTTCATGGGTTCATTCTTTTCTGGAGATGACTAAAAAAATTAGAGTTCAGGAATAGTATCCTGTGACGTTCAACCTAGCTGTGAAATAAGTAGTACCGTATCTCATTTATAAACCACATCACACGGCATCATTAAACATTTTTCCTTTTGTGCTAAACATCGCTCATATTTATTCAATTATTCTTTCCATTGGTCTACCTATAATTTAAAATTATTATTTAGTGATGTGATACCTTTTTAAGGCCAACTCTATGCACAGGGAGGTCTCGCTGCCATCATTGCTAATCAACCGATGCAAGTCGTCCATGGCAGTCAGGTGAATAAATGCATTCATTATAGACTATGGCTCCGACTTTAAATTTAATGAAACAGAAATGTCATGAACAAACTTCTTCACATAACTTTTTTTTATCCCGATATAACAATCTTACATCGGTGTCTTACCCCCTGTAAAATTTGCAACCTTCATTAAATCAGGTATTTCATTGTAAATAGGCCATTATTTCATTATTTGTTCCCTGCGTAAATTATTACTTCTCATATACTCTCGTTCTGTCATCGAGTTCTTCTCACCTTTTTTGTTCTCTTGAAATCGCATGTAATGTTTTCTGCATAGGTTCTGAGAACAGCTTCAAGAATTATATATGCGTGTGTGTGTGGCAATTTCATGAATTATGCATGCATGTTGCAGGTAACTCTGAGGCATTCCCACAATCGCGCGTGTTGGCTGCACTCGCATGACGCGCTCTACCCGCAAAAGTATGCCGACGGTAGAGGCTCTTCGCACCAGCAGCAGGTCACGTGCTACAGCTACAAGGACGTCAATAACTGGTGGATCGTCAAGAAACCGCAAAAGTGAGAATTGTTTAAAAAAAATAGCCAAATTTGACTTTTTCCTAGAAGAAAAGTCGACGGTGTGTCAATAGATAAAGTGTGATGTTACTTGTGCTACAAAGTTAAAATACAATCCATAATAATTGAAACTACTCCATAATATATTAAATGTTGTATTAAGTCGAACTTGTACTTTACAATGAAAATAGTTGTTTAGGCGGCAATTATTGAGGTAAAACAACGCTGGGATTCATATAAAGTTTATCCATAAACTTTAAATTTTGTGATTATCACTGTGCATTTAACTATCCCTCAGCATTTTAATGTGTCTTTAGTGTTCACAAATTTTTGTGTCTTACCGTGTGGGTACAAAATTTTAATTTCACATTTCCTTGTACTTTTTGTTTTTTCTAACATAATATGTGAACTTCAATTTGATAATGGGGCTTACTCAATAAGGTTTTCCCTTCTCAAATTCAGATTTAGCGTTTTTTTTCGTAAAAATAATTTTACATTAAAAAATTTTCATTGAAACTATTGAAAATTAACCCTTCGTGTATATATACATTAATTTTTGTTCAAGCTGTACGTATCTGAAGGCCAGAGAGTTACCCTCATTAGACGAAAGATTGAAGGCAAATATCCCCCACATTTTTCTAGTGTTCTCTTGCGCTGTGCAGTGAGGAGCTGGTGGTGGGGGAGCCCCTGGAGCCCATCAAGCACGGGGACGTCGTGCAGCTCGTGCATGGACTCACATCCCGCGCCCTCAACTCCCATGACGTCGCCTCAGCCATGAGTCCTCATAACCAGGAGGTGTGTGCATTAATTATGAGCGTCTAACCTAGGAGGTATGTGTCTCAGTCACGAGTCCTCACAACCAGGAGGTATGTGCCTTAATTATGAGGGTATGAACTAGGAGATACGTGCCTTTTCCTAGAGGGTCTCAACTAGGAGGTACGGTTCTCTTCCAAGAGGGTCACAACTTGGAGGTGCGTGCCTTTTCCTAGAGGGTCTCAACTAGGAGGTACGGTTCTCTTCCAAGATGGTCACAACTAGTAGGTACGTGCCTAATACGCGAGGTTCACAACTAAGAAATATGTCTTAGTTAAGAGGAACACGACTAGGAGTTTCAAACATTGACTACGATCTTCTCAATTTAGTGGTATTTGCTTAAATAGGAGAATCATAACTAGTTGAGAATTACAACGAGTTGCGGACTCTGCTCACGAGCGTAACAACCAAGAGGTACGAGCCTTACCTATATAGGAAGGTGGCTATAAACGAGGCATGAAGTAGGTGTCTTCACATATTTGGGTCACAAACGAATGCAACGTGAGTGAAGTGCTTTATACCTTGAAATCAAGAGTTTTTTTTAAGACTATTGAGTTGAATCGTTATGATCTATAGCTTTTTCCAACACCCAAATTTATGTTTGATTATCATATGACTGGTGTGTGTGCGCAGGTGTCTTGCTACGTCGACCACAACGTCTCCATGCCGGCGCAGAACTTGTGGCGAGTAGAGTTACTGGACCCTGACCGCACCAAGGGAATGTGGCACGCCGTTGAGAGCCAGGTAATGAACAAACTTTGCCCTGAACTGGGCAAGTATTATTCAAAAAAAGAGTCATCCTAAGTGTAGTCTTATTATTGTTTAAGAGTGTTATTTGGCAGGCATGGATTTAAGTATAATTTATGTAATTGTTACATTTAATGATTGGGAGACAGAATTTAACTTCAACATGACCATCCCAAGACTTAATCTGGACAGGGTAGGGAACTTGAAAAGAACAGCTGGACTAAATTATTCTATCGTTTTTTGCCATCCCTCGTGTTTCCGAGCAGCTCCGACTGGTTCACGTTAACTCGTCGACAGCCCTGAAGTTCTCGGGTCGCCAGTTGCCGGAATGGGGCTTCAAGCAGCACGAAGTTGTCACCGATAAAATTTTCGATCAGGAAGACGTCGTGTGGAACGTCGAGGAGCATCGGTATTCCAGAAGTGAGCTGACGTGTATTCCTCAGCATATGAATAATACGGCTTGTAGTTTTTAAATTGATGGTTATCTCTCTGATGCTTCAATAATTTACATTATTCCTTGAATATTCACTACGATAATTATAAGTCTGGCATGAATTACTAAATGTTACCAATGCTGAAATTAAAATGAAATTTATTGATGATTATTTCGTCCCCCTTTGTTGAATTGAAGAAGCATCTTTGATGACTGTTGAGTTCTGTCGTATATAACAGCAGTGGCGATTCTAATACATGGTATTGCCAACCATACATTTTTATCTAATTGATAGGAGGTCAATGTTGGTTTCAATAGATCAAAAATTCAATTTCTATTTGTCTCCCGAACGTGAGGCTGAGTCAGGGGAAACGTTCGGGAAATTTTTCCCGAGCCTGCAGCTGAGAATCAGAAGGAATGCGAGATGGAGCAATGCTGGTTTTAATCGATCAAAAGTTTACATTTTATTTCTTGAATTTTTCGTACACGTGCAGCTGAGAATCAGAAGGAACGCGAGAAGGAGCTGATATCTTCTGAGATGATACCGACGGAGCGACGTGAGCTGGATTTCTGGTCGAAGCTGTACGAGCTGCAGTACAAGATGCTTTTCAACAACCAGGAGAACGTGGCCGGACACATGTACGCCTCCGACCCCGTGGACTGGCTCACCCTCAAGCGCGGTGTGGCTTACTGGATTGACAGCGAGAGCAACGTGAGTGGCTCCATTGCATGCGTGTTGAGGATTAACTCTACTTTCGTTATAGGTTTTGCCATAAAAAATGTAACCAAGAGATAATGTTTTGTTTTCATATGAGCTACCAGGAACTAAACCTTTCTGATTAGGGAAAGCGATTCGTTTGGTGGCTTTGGTAAGTGTTACGGACTAAGCTGGCTCAGGACCCGCTGGTTGCCTAGTTTGGAAACGTTCATGGAGAATTTGTGTGTACGTCAGAAAGTTAGTTTTATCCTAGCAAATACATTTTTCTTGCCTCACATTTTCGATGCGCCCATCACTTGAATTTTGTATTCAAGCTGTCAATATTAATTTAATACCCATGCACCCACTGCATTCCCGTCTTTTTATTTCCAGGCTCAAATCCACTTCGTAGGCAACATAGTCACGTGGTTATCGGGCACCGCTTCACTGGTGTTCTTCACAGCTCTTTTTATCCTGTACATCTTGCGCCGCCAACGATCTTGCTACGATATCCCTGAAGACGCTTGGGACAATTTCTGCAACTTGGGGCAAGTTCTCGGCGGAGGATACCTCGTTCACTACCTACCTTACTTCCTGGTGGACAGAACCCTATTTCTGCATCATTACATGCCTGCCTACATCTACAAGCTCTGTTTACTGGCAGCTGTCGTAGAGCATGTCCATTATTTCCTCAGACATGTTTTGAAACAGAAGATTTTGTCATATGCTTTCCTGGCTTTGGTGGGAGCCTGGCTAGCTGCCATTCTATACGTCTTCAGCGTCTTCCTGCCTCTGACGTACGGCCATGTTGCACTAACTGCGAACCAAGTCGATGAGCTCACATGGAGAGACTCGTGGGATTTGATAGTCCATAAATAATTCGTAAATAATTGTGTGGTAAATTTCTTCCAAGCCTGTGAATCATTGTTAGTTATGGCTGCTGCGGCTGAGTAACATTGGTTATTGTTGTTGTGTTTGAGTACCTGTGCTAAACTTGCTGCAGTAGCGGAACATTCTATATTGGGATGGGTATTAATTGCCTTAAATTATTGTGATAATGAACATTCCAACAAGTTTAGTTTTCATAGCTTCCCTTATCGTTTTTATGTTTCGCGTCGCGAAGTTACATAGCTATTTGAGTTTATCTTATTACACTCTAGAGTTGCAGATTGATCATAGGGGAAATAGTTAAGAGATTATTTCGGAAATGGAGCTTAGAATGCCAAATAGAATTCCACGCCTATAATATAAGCCTATGATGCAGGTCAGCAGCTCAACTCCAATGTCCTGTAATAAATGATATGGAACTAATTCAGGCGTTATTGATTCGTACACATTGATTTGTTCTTACTATATTTGTAAAACCAATCGGGCTTCCTCTCCGACATTTTTGTTTTAATAATCTCTTCCAGTGCAGTGCCCAAGATGTGATAATGAATACATCGTTGTTTGCATCTTCCGTTAGTTCACCCGATGTTGCTTATGAATGAGTAGACGGGAAGCTTTTGAGTGTTTAATTGATTTGCGGTTGTGCTATGGTAATTTTTTTATGCTTCGTTCTGTTATTTTAGCTTGTAACGCCTCAGATTCTCTCTAATTCATATACTGAATGTAATTCGAAACAATTCGTCACCAATTTGGTGCAACATTTCTAGGTTAAAGAAAGCTTGTTTAAGATTATCTGCGCATGTCATTGACTGTCTAAAATAATGATTTATTACAAATTACTGATGCATGTTAATATTCATCGACTATCGGAAATGGTGACTGTGTGCAGATATAGCATTAGCGTAAAGGAACGAGTTGGTCTTGTAGGACAGTTGACATTCAGAGTCGTTATCGTAACGCGTTGACGACTGCATGCTAGTTTTGATTATTGCTGACGTTTAAACGAATTCGTCCGTAATGATTTGAGGTGGCATTAGCACAATGGACAAAAATTAGTTTTATGAATTTATGTATCGCTCACATCCGACGGATCCTTCAGTATCCTATCTCATGCTTCCATGGCTAATGAATTTCTCTTAGACTGTATTATTATTCCAATCTAAGTTTAGAATATGTAATTGTTGTTTATTGAACAATATTTCTGATCTTGGTATATTTTTGGTACTCGAAATCATGGTCATTTCTAACCATTAAGAGCACAGCCTAAAAGTGAGGTATCGTTAATTTACATCTCTGCTGTTAGCAGTACTACAGGTTCTAAAAAATAACTATCTTTATCGGGGTAATTGTCTGCATAAAGATCATGTTCTCGATGATTTATGGCGTTGTTGAATTCGATCGATATAATTTGATGAATTAGTTGATGGACGCTTGTTTCTTTTTAAGACTCGTTCAGTGTTGAAGGCCCTTGATGATATTCAACTTTCATCTGTCGAAAACTTGATGAATTACGGTACTTCATGTGTCATACGTGACTGTGGAAATTCATTATTGCATTTCTCATTAGTAACTGAAATTGATGTATTAATATTTGTATTTTTATAGAATATAAAGTCAATGCATAAAATTATTTGTTGCGCGTCGCCATCTTGACCTCATACAATAGTTTACACCTGGCCTTGGAGTGAGCGCTCCAGCTAGCGAATTTGTATTGCCAAGAGATCTTTCTTGTGGTGGACTGCATGAACTTTTTTTCCAGTATCGCAGTTCTGATTTAGTATCAGTGTATTGGATTGATCTTGCGTCTTCCAAAATACAACGGAGCTTCTTGATTTATATCTGCTGAAAATAATTTTAAGATATTTTCTGAAGCAAAGGGTTACATTTTTACATCAAGTACCTACGCCGATTTATGATGAATCCGCATAAGGACCCATTTTCTTACCGAAAGTGATTGAATGATCTGGAAATTCGAGCCATTTATCGTAAAATAATGCGCTTCGAAGCGTGGACGTGTCATATCACCACGCTGTTACGTCACGATATGGATGCAAAAAAAAAAAAAAACACAACTCGCGTATTTTTTAGCATCGTCCTTCTAAATTACGATCGCTCGGTTTGGAGCTGTTGATTGGAAAGTGAATTGTCACTTAATACAAGATTAATTGATGATCTACCCTTATTTGCCTTCAAGTCTCAAAAATCAAATCCATGCTAACCCTGTAGTTTTATTTCGTTCGTTCGAGAAGCTCAGTTCTTCCATTTTACCGTCGTCGCCAATTGGTCCTGCCAGTTTCTCACGTGCATTTTTGGCTGACTCGTATTTTTTTAGGTTTGAGATTTGTACTTGTGATTCTTGAACGTCCGTTTCTTCGGTGTCACTCACGTATAGACCGTTGTCCAGCTTGTAGAACCTCTGCACCAGGAGTGGCGGATTATGAATGAAAGCCCGTAGATCTCGTTTAGGGAATAAATGTTTCCATTTTATCTGAAAAACAGAAATGCAGTTACCTATCAAAATTTAACCCATTCCTCCTCTTCCAACTTCATCCTACAATTATTATACTCTATGAATTTAGAAGCTATTCGTAGTATCTATTATTAAAGAATTTCCTTCACTTAATTTCATATCAATTATGATTTGCATAGTTGTGTTGAAACATAAATTATTATTATTGGAGAACATCAATGAGATGATACATTTGTCTCCTCAATCCCGGAACAATCAAAATTGAGGATTAATATTCAGACTTTGAATTTTTATCAATTTAGAAAATTAAGAAGAAATACTCGTATATTATTTCATCTATGCGGTAATAGTCGGAACTTAATGTTAATATTGCGACTCACCAGGTCGGTTCGGTCATACATTATAGGCAAGAACTCGTCGACGGGCAGCGCGTGAGCCAGCGGGTTGGCAGCGACTAGTTTTTCGGCACCGGTGCCAGAGAGCAGGTAGCCTACCGCCCAGTAGACGTAGTCTGCCGTTTGCAGGCTACGAATATCGCCAACCTGAATGTGCATTCCGCATGAACTTGGTAACACTAATACTTCACCCTAAAAATTTTGAATTTTGACAGCAATATCGATCATGTGTTGCAAAAGCTTGCGGCTTACGTGTGTTTTAGGTCATTTGCCATTAATAGTCGATTGGCCAGACTAACATTTTACGCCGCCACATCCGTTGATTGAAAATTACAGAAATATAACAAACGTTACAAAGAGCACTTGCTTAATACGAATCATCCATTAATTCCTGTTGATGATTCAAGTTCCCACGCCACGACGGTAAACGCATCTGTTGATTTTAGAATAGAACTTACTTGTTCGGTGTGATAGCCTTCTTGGTACACAAACTTATATCCCAAGAAAATGAGATCCCATTCTATACATTTGATTTCCTGAAGAAGCTGTTTCAGATTTCCTTTAAAATTTGGATGTAGTTGAGCATCGTCTTCCAGAATCAAAACCTGTTGAAATTTATATTGGAAATTATTGATAGAAGGAAAACACTCAAAGTGAACATATTAATTACATCCTATGACCCAAAAAAAGAATGAAAGAAAGAAGAGGAAATGAGGCCAGTCCATAAATATTTAATTAAAACTGACATTATAGGCAACACAACAAGAGATAAACAAACCTGCGAATAATCATTTTTGATGACGTCTTTCCAAATATTATGATGACTGATGAGACATCCTATCTCGCCATTAGTAATGGGACGTTTATGAAATGAATCCAGATATCCTTCAACCTTTTTCACTCCCATTTGACGCATGCGCTCTTCTGTCAGTGTTTTGCCATCAACCCCTTGCACTCGCTGGGCTTTCAAGCCAGCAAGTCCCAACATCTTTTCGATGACATCTCTTCTGCCAGGCCGACGATCCAAGTTTATGTAATATATTTGTGATAGACCAGCTGTGTCTAAAGTCCCGTTAGTAGTTATGTATTTATTAAAGGGCTGGCTGACTGCTAAATATTTATTTCCACGAAAAGAATCGATCACTAGGTCGTTAATTAGACGTTGACCAACGTCAAAAGGGTCTCCGGACGGACGGGGGTATTCTAGAAACCCATACTCGTCTTCGTTACAAATGTAGCTACCGAGGCCTGCTCTTCTTGCGGAGACCGAAAACGTTATGATGTCATCGTAAGGTAGGTTTTGAATTTCGATTTCTGTGGGATCAAAAGTAATAAGATCTATTTTAGGGTCGGTAAGTTTCACGAGAACGCACGAGTGGACCAAGGCAACTTCGAAGCAGCCACCTTGTGTTCTCGTCAAGATCTCATCGTATTCGTTTGAATATTCCAAGTAAAAATCGTCGTTCATTCCAGCCCAAAAGTTCGAGTGCCTAGAAGATGAAGTTAACATTGGCGCCGTGATAGTGGGGTTAAATTTTATAAGCTTGCTTATTACTTTGCTATCAGTCAAGAAGACATCTGAATCAAAAAATAAAATGTAATTTGCAAACTTTTTTCTTGCTCGTGACATAGCTTCCATTTTTAACTCAATCATGTGCGAAATGATGGCTTCGTCTTTCTCGAACTGAGAACCTTTGTGTGATTTTTCATACCGTTCAGGAGTTCGAACAAATTTAGTATCAATTTCTCGATACTTCCGTACTGCGTGGGTGATCCATTCCTCTAGAATGTCGATGGTTCTGTCGGCGCAGTGATCGGCACGAACATGCAATATCATGCGACTAGGAGGGTAGTCCAGGTTATCGAAATAAGACAAGAAGTAAGGCAGAGCTAGTTCCTTATTTCTTGCTGAGATAAAAACGTATATCAAGGGATCATAATTATTTTTTTCGGCGAATTTTGAAAGTACAGCTGTAGCTGATAAACTTAAAACTATGTTCACGAAGGTAAAGGTGAAAATTTCTCGTTGGGAAAAGATCGTTGGTTGAAATAACATTATGATCTTGTGAATACGATATTTTTAAAATCAAATTTGTTGGTCTGTAAAATGTATACAGTATAGTATTGCGTTCTTAGTCACTTGTTATCAGCCAGAATTTGCGACGATCTCAGGGTCAGCCAGGATTTGCGAAAGACTCTTCAAGTTCACAACGTCCCAGTCGCAAAAGGAGGGGAAAATTTTAATAGCTCCATTAATAACTAACTTTTCGAGCAATGATTTGAACTGCCTTATGTACGAGTAGTTTCCTACGGAGCGTTCACTGCACTCCCATCGTTTGGCGGCGTCTGACTGAGCGTGTTGGACAGCGGCCCGACAGCCTCAGGACAGGGCGAGTGGGCGACAGGCTGCACAGCCACACTGCCACAGAGCGGCCCGACCGAAGCTGGTAAATGTACCGTTACCGTTAGGCCACAATCAGAAGCATCCAACCAATGCGGAAAAACTTGTTTCAACATTGTCCGATTAGAACTAACGAACACTGACGCGTCTGGTTAAGATTAGGCAGATTTTCGCACAAAATTCACTATTGCTGCTGCTTAGAAACCAAGCCATGAAGTTCTTCAGGTAATTGTTACGGTAACTTCTCCAGCTTAAATATGACTGCGTGAAAATTGACGACCGAGTTACGGTTTTGCGAAAATTACACAAAACCTCGGATATGTAAATCTACTCAAAACCTTGACAAAACACGATTAACTTGCGTAATATTCGTTAAAATCTACTATTATATAAAACAGCCACGGCGCATTGTTCTAACTCTCCATCCAATTCGAACCCTGTTGTGCTGATCGTATGTCTGTAACAGGTAACCGTTACGTTGTTAATTAAGATATCTTGACCTGCATGTTGCTAGGTATAATTCAACACTAGAAAGTTAGCCAAGTGTTGCACGGGCTTCATAATCCATGTAATTTTAGAATCCCGTTGTCTTGAAAATGATGAAGTTTAAAATGATAAAGCTAATGTTTGCTGTTTATGACGAGTGCGCGAAAAATATCTGAGAACTTCTACAAATGTCCGCACAACATTAAAAGGAAATAAAAGAAATAAATTTTGGCAGAGCCTGTCGCCACGAAATCCGAAAATACGGGTGTCCTTGGCTATATGCCAGTGCATTTACCCTCAAGGGAATTATGCTGAAATTGGATACGGAGCTGTTTGATGAAACCAGATCTGAAAACGCTCGACGCAGTGTAATTAGAATAGTACTGCGTGTTTTCAACTTTAATGTCAGTGGAAGCATAATATTTAGATACTGTCAATTTAATTAGAGAACCGTACATTCCGATTAAGTCGCGACCGCATAATTATTGCCAATCTGGATTTAGTTGCAATTATCTGGCCATCTCCTAACTTTAGTACTAACAAATGACGAAAATGTGCGAAAAACGTAACCGTTTTATCTCTGATAAAAATGAGAAGGAAACTCGGCAAAAGGCTCTGTACTAAACTTAAGGAAAATTAGTTCGAGAAGTAACGCGAACATTTTCTCGACATGGGTATCGATTATTTGTTTCAGAAAGTTTGTGTGTTGGATCGCTTGTTCATTTGATGCCTGACGTCAGAAGTAGTTATCACGTTTGATTAATATTTGTGTGCAAATATTCGCATCAGACTGTCTGATGAGAATTACAAATTCTCAAGAAGCAACACCGAGCTAGATCACGTGTAAATAAAATAATCTGGTGGAACTTACGAACCGCAACTTCACTACATGTATTAATTCGCTTCAATGTTCTAATGTTCACGAATGCATTGAATATTTAATCCAATGTAATGTTAATTCAATGTTTATTGTTTCAATTACGCATTTTATATTATGGATACTGAAAATTGATCTCGATTACCCTTGGAATTTTATATCTTGGCTGGAAATTGCCAAGTTAGGTTGCTACTGCTTGATTAAATTCATTGCAGAATTATGTGCTAGCAAGGTTTTAAACTTAACTTGGAGAGAACTACAAATTATGTTTTATTTTGTCTTAAGAAGTTCATGAAAGTCAATAATTGGATAGTATTATACGGGCAAAATTTCATCATAAATGAACTCATGGTTTGCGTAAATTTAGTGCAAATGAATGATAAATATGACAAAATTGCAGTATTTCGTTGAAATTTGGAAGTTAAACATTGATTGTTCCTAAAATTTTCCCGAAAATCAGCAACGGATTTAATAAATGTAATATTTGTGTCTATTACAGTTGCTTTTACTGCAGGTCTCTTACTTCTCTTACAGTTCGATAGCAACTTTCAATAGAAAACTGTATAGTGTTTATCGAACTGAAAAAAGTATAGCAGGAGCTAGGAGGCCATCACAAGAAGAGGCAGTTAGACGCGCTGCGTCCCATGCACGAACACAGCTAAGCGTCGTGGTCACGGCAATGTGCATCCAAGCCTCACGCTACCTATGACATCTCGGGACAAAAAGAAGACCATGAAGTCTGTGTCATGTTTTCTTGAAGGGTTTTTCCACTTAATAGTTTTCCTTCAACGACCATTCCAATACGTCTTTTAACAACACCAAATCTAGAAAAAATTATTCACTAAGGATTGCGGTTTTGTTCATTGGCATATAACCCGGTGCTGAAAATGACAACAACACCTATACGAGCAAAATGGTCATGATTATCGTGAATGAACATACGGTCGGTTGGTGCTGGTCAACTGAGGTACTACCCGATTATACCACGACTCACGTAGTGCTGCTGATCACTCATTGTTGTATTTACTTATTTTAATGATATTGCCAATGATAAGGGTACCTACAGCTAGTAATGGAGGGAAAGAAGTTCTGGCATTGTAGGGCTAGTGTTTGTATTTTCAGCCACTTTTTGTGGCTGCTTCGAGATTGAGCTCATGCCTGACTGTAGGACACTCACTGTTTTCACTTCTTCCACATATTGTTATATGGATAACTTCAGGTCGAAAAGATAACTCTGAACCCGACATGAGACTTAATTCCAATTTTTGTCTGAAAAAAAAAATTTTTGTATACCGTTGTATGGAATTGCAGTTTAATTGGCTTTTTCGACTTGAATGTGACATTAATAATTCTACAGTTTCAGTGCACGTGTCGTTAAATATTAATTTTCAATTTACCTCACGAAGATTATCAGTAACTTAGAATTGGCTTTTCATTTGCCGACCCATGGACAAAATTTTTGAAAGCTAATGGCTACTAATCCGTGTCATGTTCGCCAATCACTTTCTTTTTTTAAAACTAGATAGCTTTAGCACACAGTATCTTGTTTGAGTTTCTAGGAGCGCGTTCTTTACGTGAGCAAGTTACCTTACACGTGTTACTGTAATAGTTCAAATATGCAATGAGTTGCCTTTATAATATTGTGTGTTTATCAATATTTGTGCAAATTTTTCTATATTATCCTGCCTCCATGCAACCAACTCTTAACCGAGAAGGAAGAGTGTCCATAATTAGCACGTATTGTGTGCTCTTCTGCACCTATAAGCACAAAAATTATGTAAATTAACGTTCTATTAAACGATTTCACTCGGTGTCGGAAAGTGGCAATGCCTAATACACTGTCGGAACATAGTATTATAATGAAACTTTCGACAGTGGCATGGGACAGCTACGTTCGAAACGTTTTCAATGGAATCAAGGTAACATAAAAAGATACACGAACATAACGGTACGATCGCTATGCAGCCCATGATAATGACGGTACCTAGATGTTTTCGGTGTAGACGGTCACAAAAGTTACCGTCTATCTCAACTGTAAAAACGATTATAACGCCACTCACTCGTCCAACAACATTTCGATCATACATCTGCCGTCTAACTCAAATCTACGAACATTCGTAATGGTACTTACTCTCGCAATTTTTCAAAACGATCATAACGTTACTTTATGTATGTTCTCTTGACAGCACTAACGATCATATCGTTCCCGTCCATCTCAACTGTATGAACAATGATAACGGTACTGCTGATCATGCAAACGGCACCTACGAAAGTGATTATATCTACATATGACGGCGTTTACGGTCAGTGTAAATATATTATATCTACTATACGGACGGAGTTTATTTAAAATAATTAAACACCTGCTACTCGCAGTAATTTGCTACTTACACCTGCGGTACTCACGGCTTGAGTAAACTTTCCATCTTCAGACAACTGAAGAATGTTATGAAAATTACAAGTATCATAAACTTATAGATCATAATATAATTCAGTGTAAGCATTTAACACTACGAAATTAAAAATTTCTCTCGGTTGCTTGGTATGTAGTATCATAATCATGGCTTTTAATATAGTCATTGAATGTAGCACCAGCGGCTTACGATCATGTAATAATTTCCATTACTCCGGAAACTCTGCTGATAGAAACCATCACGAGAATTATCCATCTCTGCCTCTAACATTTGATATGTTCAGTGCAAACACCGTGGAGTTTCTGTTGTTTCGGATTTAGCCCCTCTAAACCAACACATACGCAACTCACAGAGCTCGATATCCATCATTCAGTTCGATGTTGTGCAGTGTCACAAAAAAGGTGAATATATTTAGAATGTGCGCATCATACTATTGTGTGGTTTTGGTTTCAGTAATACGTACGTCGATCATGCACATTCTCTGACTTGAAAAGGCGCCCACACACTTTTCGTCCACCCAAATTATTATAAAAATTTTACGCGCCTGTAATGTAAATATTAAAATGTTAACTTGATCTTTACCTATATGTTAGTTCTCGTGCTATACATCATTGCACATTCATACATACTAATCGTACTGTGGCACTTTCATGCAATAATGTTGTAGCACTTCTATATGAAATCATATTTCGTCCTTTTTTACCCACATTTAAGGTGAACATAGGATTTCTATATAAATTACACACACCATCACACATCGTCATTCAACATTCATCACTGCACAACGCATGAATGAAGAACAAAAATGCACGCACAACACAGCCTACATACTTTCATGCGTACGCATCCATAGACGTGTGCACAGTAAACCAAACCTGGGACACGTGGCTGCATGCGTCGCGCGTGTAGCGCGTGTGCGTGTCACGCGTGTAGCAGCGCATCTCCACGCGTTGCGGCATCTATAGCTTAGCTACAACTCGTTTGACCTTGACCTTACTAGGGATGTGACTAATGACTATCAAAATATGCTTCCAATTATGACTCATTAAAGAACTGGTGGAACCGTTAATTCACTTAAACTTTTAACTTTGTGCAAAAGGTTCTAGTCTTATTTTGTGTGAGATTATTTCTGATCACTCTGCAACCTTAGCACAAAAATTACGTATATAAGCGTATCTATTAAATAATTTCACTCGAATTCGCAAAATTAGCGCCTAAAATTAGGGCTTCGATTTAAGCTTCTTGCAAATATTCCGACGATATCGTTGAATGACAACTCTACTGCAAATTTACCACGTGTATTTTAAATATTATAAAAATGTTGATTTATGGTACGAATATAATTGATTACCAATGGTAACAGAATTCAGCTAGGCTAGTGAACGAAATAGGGAGCCCAAATTGTGCAGGCTTTTCTCACGGGAGCGTGAGAACAGACTGCACCCTCAAAACAAGGCAAGAAATTCAATAACAAACTTTATTTTCGTGTTCAATGTAAACGTATAAATGTGCTGTTAATACATTGATTTTTCTGCTTAAAATATCTGCAGTTACTTTCACATTCATAATTTTTCCGGTTTATGTAATCACCATAACACACAGTAAATGTTTTCCCTCCCTCCATCCCCCAACCATTACGCAGGAATGTGCACGACAACAGGGGCTGTGAACGTATGTCGCTCAAACGGCAGCGTCCACACGACCAACGTTTGTGAGGGAAATAAAAAGTCTTGCTCTCTCTCGTGAATCATTGTGGTTATTTTTTATTTTCAATTGAAAATTATAAGTTTAATAACTAATAACTTATTATTGAAAATAAAAATTTTAGCTGTGACTATCTGAGAGTATTGATGGTGATTTTTGGCGGTCAAAATTTTACTCGTTGCGATTGTAACAATCTTAATACTGATAATATTTTTGCACTACATTTACTCAACCAAAGTTTTATTTTCATCTGCAAAAAATGCTAGTTGAAAGTGTAATTTGATGAAATTAACGAATGCAATAAAAACTCTTGAACATATAACCTATGAAAAGCGATCAAAAAACTTATTTATACTTTATATTTTGTTGAGTATTTTAACAGTCATCTGTGCTCTTGAACATATAACCTATGAGAAACTATCAAAAACCTTATTTATTTATATTTTATCGAGTATTTTCACAGTCATCTGTAGTGCATCCGGGCTTTGCTTGGCATCGTACGTCTGGCGTGTGACGGACTGACGGTCGGTGGCCAACAGCGGCTCGTGTTCTATATGAAGGCGGCGGCTGGCTGACACACGCCACTTACTTCCCGAACGTCGTTCGGTGAGCGCTGCACACATTTCTACGTGCGCTCAAACACGTGCACTGCATACGTTCAAGACGTGTACTTCCTTGTACCTGCATACGTTGTGCTCAATACCCAACCCAAGGTCTTGCGGTTCTAATTGCTATTTGTGTCAACGAAGGAAAGTCAAGTGAAATTTTGAGCCAAATCTAATTCAATTATTTAAATTGTGTTTCAACACCTAGACTCAAAATGAAGAGATCGCACAGTGAGAGTGAAACTGACGATATATATTCCGGTGACGAAAAAGAGTAAGTATACGAGTGCTCCTTCATGTACTTCTTAATATTCAATGACTTTTACACTTTATTTTCTTGAAAAGTGAAGGGTAATAAGTAAAATCTTTTAGTAAATCAAATATTGCCTGACAGTGACTCGATTAATTTAAATGTTTTGTTCTAAGTCTCCGAGCCGGGAATTTATTTGACGATTAATAACAATATATGTTTGTTGATACTTGTTGAGTTTCAAAAATGGTACATTTACTAACTGATTTTGGTGAATATTTTTTTAAAATTCATTCATGTTATATTTTTCTTTAACTCTGTATAGCTTCAGTTGTATAAAATTAGTCTGCTCATACTGCAGCATTTGCTGCGGTGTACCCTAGCTTGTACAGTGTACAATGCGTTCTCATGACGAGTTACCCTAAATGCACCAAATTATTGCTTTATTTCCTCCGTGATCACCGTGCAATTTTTTGTCATCAAGAAGTGACATTCACATTGTGATGCGATCAGAAGTGTTCTTTAATTGTAAACGATATAGAAGTTATTGAATTAAATTAAGGATGGGATTTTAAGTTCTCTACATTATATATGAAAACTTTGGACCATATGAAGTAATTGCATTGTTGAATAAAACGACACTTTGGATTAGATCAAGAGAAGCTGTCTATGTGAATTAACTTGCATATCATGTTGCCTATTCTATTACAATGATGTTAAATTTTAAATTCCAATCTCGATCTACATTTAAGTTACTTATAACATTACAACAACAAAGTTGCACAAATTTATGGATGTTTCTTTTAAATTATTTCAACACGAAACCTTCACGTCCTTTTTCATTTAAGAATTTTTTCACTGAATTTTCGACAACTGTGAAACTACGGCTAACAATTTCTATTCCTTATATATATTGTCCTATATTATTGAAATCATTATGTTATAAATTTATTAAAGAATGATTGCAAAACAACTTGATTTCAATCGATCCAACTCGTAAACTCAGAATGCAAGGGTTCGACTTTCGGAACACGAATGTAAACGAACACTTTATTCAAATCATTTCAACGCGCATCCCACAACATGATTGCTCTTCTCATCATAACAATCGAACCAGCTTATTTTTCATGTTCATGCTACTTGTACCCTTAGAACTCGAGTAGAACAAGACGCAAGCTCGTCCCATCCGAAGACGAATGTAAACAAACTCTATTTATGAAGACTAAATGACTGCGTCCTCTCATTATGCATTTTTCCCCTCAGAACGCATTTCAGCCCTCAGAATTCATTTCCCCCTCAGAATGCATTTCTCCCTCAGAATGCATTTTTCGCTTCAGAATGCATTTTTCCCATCGGAATGCATTTTAACCCTCAGAATGCATTTTCCCCCACAGAATGAGTTTTTCCCCTCAGAACGCATTTTTACCCTCAAAACGCACTTTCCCCCTCAAACCGCATTTTTACCCGCAAAACTCATTTATACCCTCAAAACTCATTTTTTCCCTCAAAACGCATTTTTCCCTCAGAATGCATTTTTCCCCTCAGAATACATATTTTCCCCCACGAACGCATTTCCCCTCATCATTCACTTTCATTAACCCCGTGCCCTCAGGTGCGAAGAATCATCTGGCGGCGGGGGCGGCGTGTCGCGCAAACGTCGCCGCGGTATCATCGAGAAGCGCCGGCGCGACCGCATCAACAACAGCCTGGCCGAGCTACGCAGGCTGGTGCCCGCGGCGTATGAGAAGCAAGGCTCCGCTAAACTCGAGAAGGCCGAGATACTCCAGATGACCGTCGACCATCTCAAGCTGCTACATGCCAAAGGTGAGAATTGTACGTATCAGGTGTGGTTCCTACTGGTTTTATACTTGGTAAATATTTGATAACTTCTATTTTTGTTGATTTTTGTATTCGTGATGTACTTTAACTGCGCTTCCGAGGACGATTGGACGAACCAAAACAGGGCGTGATACAGTAAGTACAGCTATATTTCTGTTGCGCTCTCAGTGGAGGATAAAAATATACATTTATATGAATCCTGTTTGCATTAAATCCAGAGAAAATTAAGGCACTGCTCAGTTAATTTCATGAAAAAAACGTATCTTCAGTCTTTTTATAATTAAATGCTATGAGAATTCTTGTGCGACGTTCCCTTCTAACCAAACCAGAATCTAAATAGAGGAAACGAGGTAAATTTACATGCCAAGAAGGGGGATAAAATTGAAAACTATGTAGCATTTATTTGAAAGAAAGCCACGAATAGAGTGAGAAGACCACAAATAGAGGGCGAACCATGAATAGCAACGAATAGAGGGAGAGCCACGAATAGAGGGAGAGAGAGGGCCACGAATAGAGTGAGAGAGAGGGCAGTGAAGGAGAGGGGGAAAGGTGGAGCAGGATGCATCCTGTGAAGAGTGTGCACGAAGCGTGCAAAGGGCAGGGGGCGCTCACCCCTCTCACGACCCCTCATTATGTTCACCTCTCATCCTCCTTCACACTGTGATTGTTTTTCCTCGCCAGTTCAATATAAAAAAATATGAAGTTTTCTGCCTATACAAAAATTTCATGTTTCAAGTCATAATTTTTTTATCCAATTACATTTTCGGTTTAGGCCTAAACTAAATATTCGTAGACACGAAATGATGAATTGAACTAATTTCATGTTATATTATATCTGTAATTTTATTAGCACGCGTCATTATAACATAATAAGATCATCATACATAAGAATGTTGCCCCAAGACAAGCCCCTTTGAATAGTGTACACTCAAAGAAATAAGTGTCAATTTTTCCTAATAGCGATGAACATTTCCCCTTTGCGTGGGTCATCCTAACCTAGTTTGGCATGAAAAAAAAGTGCATAAGTGCTTCGTCTGATTCCATTTTGTGCTGTGGGTTAGAAAGTCTGTGTTTATTTAGTCAAAATGATCCACAAATTCCCTGAGTGTAGGTTTGCCCTCGTGGGAGCGGCGTACTGTAATTGCACCGCAGCGACTTGCCTTAACGAGCCGCAATGACCGGATCTTGCGTATGGCTACACCCGCTGTCTCCTCTGCCTCATATTGTTGCTTCACTGTTGCTACAGTTCGTGTGTACAATACTTAATGCACAGTTTTAGATTATTCCTCAGCCTCTATTCCGAGTTTCTCCTTTGTTCAATCTTCGTGCGTAAGCTAATCGCTAATCTATACGAGTAGTATATTTTTAGCGCATTATCTCATTTATGGGAAAAAAACGATACTGCTCGTCGTGTCCATCTGTCCGTCCGTCTGTCCGTCTGTCCATCCGTAACTTCACGTTTTCGTCGACGAGAAAATGCGCGCTATGTCACTCACTGCAGTGAGTACTGAGTTATATTTTTTAGTAGTATTTCAGCGAATTAAAAATCCACTATTTCTTCACAGTTTGCTTCATTGTTGAGACTGTTCATGTGTTCAGCTCCTGAAAATACAGTTTTCAAATGCGCCTATATGGAAATTCATGCTGCACTGGGAAAGTTTCTTATTTCATAATCATACAACTTTTTTTAGTTTTGTTTAACGCCACTAAATCAGTTGTATTCATTTAAAACTTACTAGTTCGTTAAAAAAATGTTGCCGCTATATGTTTGATTGCTGTGCGTTCTGCTATCACGGGTGAATTTTTATATAATTAATTTTAACTGATAAAAACAACGACTTCAGCAAAACTTGAAATTTAATTCATTGAATATTATTGTTTTTCTAAAGCTTATCAAGCTCATAAACCTACTTAATTATTTCTCCTAAATTAACTCGATTCGGGTGTTTTATCTTCTGTAGTTCTTGTTGCGACATCATCTGGAAATCCATGGGCTTCTACGTTATTTTTACACCTGCTAGTGCTTCTTGTTCATTTCTGCTACTTCTTATTCATTTCTGCTACTTCTTGTTCATTTCTGCTACTTTTTGTTCATTTCTGCTACTTCTTGTTCATTTCTGCTACTTCTTGTTCATTTCTGCTACTTCTTTCTCATTTCTTCTATTTCTTTTTCATTTCTACTTCGTTTCTCCATCTTCCTACCGTCAGCTTTTGCAAGCCAGTTGTCACGTTTCGTGACGCGTTGTTAAAAACTTTCTCATCAGGATTCTAAAAAAAATCGGAATATGTAAGTTCATTTTTTAAAGCGTACCCGGAATGCGGATGTGCATACAATAATGCATTAAAAGCGGACAGGTTCTACATAGTTCCGTTCCATGCATAATTCCAAGTCATACATCCTCTGATTTGCCTGCATGCATAATTTGCTTGTGGGTCTCGATGCATTCAGATTCGTGTATGCATAATGTGAATGTAGGCCTATGGTAGGCCCAGTAGAATTAGAATACGACCTCATTAAATGGTTCCTGTGTTATATATAGAACGTCAGGCTCCTTAAAATTCCTTCCTAGTAACGACAGATGCTTCACAGGCAGTCGCCATTTGAATAATTTTGTCCACACTATAGTGCGCACATTCATGTATACGATTCCCGAATTCCAAGCTTAGGTGCATTGTTCCTGGAATTCCTGGAACGGAGGGCTATATTAGGGTAACATTTGCATATCAGGTCATTCCCATATGCATGAACCTGCATGCCCCGATCACACATATGCCCTCGAAACGGGGGAATAACCTTGCCTATTTTTTTCGGTTCTGTTAGCCTACAAAGATGAACTTTTTTAACGCTGGGGGGGTTTAAATTTTTTCATGCTGGGTATTTTTGAATCACTTGAATAAATTATTTTTGATTTTCTATTTAGTTGATTGAAAAGAAATGAAAACGAACATATGCTGGCATGAATCTGTGCTATATTATTTCTAATGAGGAACTTTCATATGAATGAAGATTAAGTAAGAGAAATATTATGCACGTTGTGTTCATATACTAATATATCTAACACAACATTAGGCTTCTGAATTAGGAATTTCCCTTTGATAATGTCTTAAAGCGTACCTAAAATAAATGTCATCGAATCTCTCATTTTTACTGATAGGAAAGATGAATCTAAAAAATTTCTAAGAAAACAATAATTGATTTTAATTACTCTGATTCCAAAGCGAATATCCTAACATTGCGCCCCCACTTTTAAACCCTGCAGTCTATAATTATAGAGTATTGTTATGCGCCCTTAAGTTGTATTGCTTAACATCCTACATTCAAGTTCATAGCACGGGTTTCAGTCTTCATTAAATTTCTTTTATTTAACCGCAATGTGGTATTCACGATACAAAATTAACTGAGCACCATGAAGCTCATTCAGAAGTGGTTAATAATTAGCACTTCTTGGAATATTCAGAACATGGGATTGTTCGTTAGACTTTATTGTTGATCTGTCTTACGGGCAAGGGGTTGACAGTCACACGAACAGACTGACAGAGACATGGACTGAGTGACAGGCGTGACAGAGTTGCAATCACGCTTAGTTTTCCTCCTATGACATTCTTACTTACATCTCTTTTGGTCCTCGGTCTTTCATTCTTCCTGGAAAGTGGAAACGAAGGGGTGGAGCTGGCGAGTCCTCGCATACTGGCTAATCTAACGGCTAATTTATTATTAAATTTCCTTGCGTACTGGCTAATTTAACAGCCAATTTCATATTGAATATTCGCGCATCGTGGCTAAATAAACGGTCAATTTTGGAATGAATGTTTTCGCATACAGGCTATATTTAACAGACAATTTCTTATTTGATGTCCTTGCAGTCTGCCTAATTTATCGACGAATTTTGTATTAAATGTTTTTCTGTCATAGATAAGGCGGTTAAAATGCTTCATAGTTAAGTCGCCGTCATTGCAAGATTTATAGATGTTATATCTTTAGGTATCATTCAACGAACTAAAATATTTTCTCTTACGATGATTTGCATCATGCACTAGAAATAGTATAATCACGCTTCGTAGATGCATGCGAATCCAATGTATGCCTAAATCATTTCAATGTGAAGACTCCAATTTATTATTTTTATAATAAATTATACATATACAATAATTTCGATCGAATCTCGTCTCACTTAATCGTTAAATGTTCTCAGAGGAATGAATTAGGGGGGTAAAAACTTTATTGCGTGAATAAACTTTTGATTTCAACCTAATTTCACAAATTGATTAAATTCCTTATACGCGTGAAGCTCCTTTCGAAAGCAGTGTAAATTATAATTAGCGAGAGATTGGAGATTATTCATCATAATTTATGAACATTCCTACGTGATCTCACCATTAGGAACGCGATTTGAATTTTGAAACATGAACGTTGGCAAAGAATTATTTTAGTTTGCTGCTCGGTATAACGCTGCAACAGGTTGACGAGAGCCCTTCGTTACCTTACTTCTAACAGAGCACAGTGCGAATAGTTGTTGTATAGAGCAGTCGACCTACGGTGTGCCCAAGTCCTGTAAGTGTCCAAGGTATTTCAATGGAGTTAACCCACTTCTTGTCGTAGGTATTGCACAAAGTGGTCGGTTGCAAGGGTCAGCCTGTTGCAAGGAATGGCCGCGGCCAGAGGAATGCAAATTGATGCTTATTCTTTGGAAGTTAGAAAAAAACGTGACAAAAAGACGTACGATTTAGTGTTGCAAAGCTGGAAGCGCTGAAGGGAAGGAGGATTGTATTTTTTCTAGAGGGAGGGACGGAATCTAGGAGGGGAAAACTGACATGTTGCACGGCGGCTCAACAAGAGCAGCATCGATGGTCAGGCCGCCGGCATGGGAGGCTGTGGGTAGAGATTCCTGAGTTGGAATGAGGCCATATATATGGTGGCCATTTACTCTTTTTGCAAGTAAAGAATCATCTGAATTTCTAGACAATTTTTATGAGAAGAAACGAGATGGAGATCGAATTAAACTCGTTTTTTGATGACGTTCGGTTTTCTAGCATAGAGCTTTTCGGAAAAATAATAATCGGTATCATAACTAATAAGAAATAATTTTGAATTTTAAATTGAACCAATTATTATAAGCATTTTTTTGCAATTTAATTGAATGCTGAGCAGTTATGTGATCTCTAGGTCTGAAATGAAAAGTCTCGTGCTTGACATAGAAAGAAGTTTGTTTGAGATGTTGCCATTTAGTATTATCTACATCATCTGTCATAAGTTGAGTCACAAGTTGAGTGGTGGAGAATTTACGCCGCGCTGCATTTGATTGCATATACATTTGCGGGTTGCGTAGATTTTAATCTGATAGTGCGTTGCATAGATTTTAATTTAAAACATTTTTGGCTTTGGACGTCGCTGCTCCAACTCACACATCCATAGCAGAAATTTTCAACATTTTTCGCGCAATCTTATTATATATGATTAACTCACCTTGTCAAAAATATTTGCCACAAAAAAAGAACGAAAACCGAATCCGTATTTGAGCATAGATCTCGTAATCCATATTTGAGCATAGATCTCAGAACATCAACATACAGAAAATATCAGCAGATACGCACCCATTTCGACTCTGAATGTTACGGCTCATTAATTGACGTCCACGCGCACCGGCGCCGAATTCTACAGTTCAAGAGACGTGCACCAACATCGACTCCGAATACTGCATCTCAGATGATGTGCACCAACATCGACTCCGAATACTGCATCTCAGATGATGTGCACCAACATCGACTCCGAATACTGCATCTCAGATGATGTGCACCAACATCGACTCCGAATGTTACATCTCAACGAATGCGCGGCCACTCCGTTTCCGATTATTAAATCTCTACAGATGTGCATCCTCTTCGACTTTGAATATTATAGCTCAACAGATGTTTTTTTCATGCACAAACAGAACACCGGAAGGAAGCATCATTTCATGGGCCTATAGAGAAGGCTTCAGAGAAAAGAAAACCAAGGTCTATATCATTAGCATAAGCATGGATGATTATAAAGCGAAATGTATAGCATGTGAGTGCGGTGGATGTGTAGCAGTGTGGCGAACGGTTGCCTGACACACGCTGCTACCTCCTCTGGTCTCACGCTATTGTCTGTCGACTTGCCTCTATGTCTCTAACCTGGAGGCTTTCACGTGTTATATATATGTGGCCTGGCTCTGTTTCAAACAGCAGGCTGCTCTTCGGATATGTTACTTTATGTATACAAATATTATGTATGCTCGCGTCATTTGATTTCATGCATATTAGGCGTCAGTTATATTCTGAATCTGCGTATGTGCATATGTCTATGCTTCGGTTACTTCGGTTACGCTATATCATACCATTGACAAAATTTTAAGGGTTTTTATTATAACATACCTTATTAGCACACTATACTCGTATTAGGTAAATGTACTTTAGTATTACCATCAATATCTGCTTCATATGTTTCAAATATTTGTTCGTTTCACAACCACTTTTGCTGTTTCGCTTCTGACCCGCTCGCAAGATTTATTTAATTTGAATTATATATGGGAATTAATCCGCATAATTCAACGGATTCACGATCAAGAAATATAGCACGTAACTTCGAGCAACCAAAATGTGTGATCTGATCTAAGGAACTTTATCTTATTTGGATCACTACCAGGACATCATTGCATTCAATATAACTTGTGCGTGAACTTATTTAAAATAACTCAATATAATGCATGCTATAGTTCGTATTCCCCTGGTATCGATCTAATGATAGGAGCGTCTTTTTGTGTTGCTTTTCTTTCAATACGAGGAGTAGATCAGAATCTATACAAACGCTTCATTAAAAATGCTCATTCTTCGTTAAAAGGGAGTGTGGTGCATTTGCAAGCCATGCAGCGGGGGCATGCAGTGCATGAATACAAGTGCAATGTTGCACAATACAGCGATGCTGTGTGGCATTCCATGCCCGCAACGGTGCTCGTACCGATACATTGGGTACTACACGGTGCATGGTACGTGGGTACAACACGGTGCATGGTACGTGGGTACAACACGGTGCATGGTACGTGGGTACAACACGGTGCATGGTACGTGGGTACAACACGGTGCATGGTGCGTGGGTACAACACGGTGCATGGTACGTGGGTACAACACGGTCTCAGATTTTTCGGATTTTCGAAGTTTTCCTTCCATTTACAACGATTTTCAGAAATTCCTTCCTACTTTCTTTGCTAAATTCTTCAGGGTTAAATAGATTGTTTATGTAAGGAACGGCTGACCCTGTGCCATTTGTAGTTATTTTTAGCAATTTGTTTGTCTATTGCGTCTGACGTTACACTTGGTCTGCCTGAACACAGGTACGCACGAATGCCTCCGAGTCCGTATTAGTAGTGTGAAGTATTCGTTTGTAATTTAATGCTATATTATTAAAGCTTTGCTCTTCATACCTATCTTGCTCTGTAATATGTATAAGTTCTAGAGTTTTCGTATCTCAATTTTGTTATCCAATCTCAATTTTTGCTTGCAATCCAAAATTGCAAACTTTTTAAATGATATATTGTATAGAATACAGGCACACGAGTAAACTGCGCACACATGCTGACAATTTCAACCGAAATAATGCGCCTAAACCCGCACACGTACATCACACGCAGCAGAGGGGCATCACAGGAAGCGATTCCCACGTTCACATTCCAAAGGTTCCTGCCATTCCCACGCTAATTCCTGTTCCGTTCAGTGGCAGTAGGTGTGAGGCGAGCGCTGCCCGAGGCTGGCGAGAGGAAGAGGGAGGAGGGATAGGATGGATGAGGGGAGGAGGGATAGGATGGATGAGAAGATAAGTGATCGGAATGTGTGAGGGGAGCGAGCAAACTGCTGCACCTGCCTCTAGTCAAGGGTCACGAGGAATTGCAGAGCCAGCACTCTTTCGTAGAGTTCCATGTACAACGTTCATTAGCGGGTGGAATAAATCGAAAAGCTGCATCATCTCTTCTAAAGATTTCGCTATTTTGATTAAATGAGCTACTTAGGAACTAGATCGATTATCGTAGTTCGGTTACAAATATTGGATTTGAATGGTGCTGTTGCCTGCATGCTGGATCATAAATAGAGTTAATGGCCACTATGTAGAATATTAGGACTAAAATTTTCTCACAATTTCTTTTCTTTGCGTCTTTAAAGTTTCTGGATTCAATCAATGAGCCCGTTTAGTTACTTATAACACCTCGCTGTGCAGCACCTTGCTGAGCTCCAGTCAAGATGCTCCAAGCTCATGTCTCTGCACTTGTCTCCTCTGATTTCTTTGTACAACGAATTCTTCATCATTGTTGAGTGTATTCATCGTGATTGTTGAGCGCATATATTCATCAAAGAACCCCGACGGCGGGCCGCCTGGCGGGCGCTGTGCGCAGAGTCGAGCTTTTGTGTTGTGCCGCTGGGGCCAACCTCAGACTGAAGCTCCAGCCATCGTAATTATTCTTCCAGTCGGAGCCAGTGCATATCGGTCGCTTTACTTACGTTTCTTGGCTTCGAGAAAGTCAAACGTGTTTTAAAGGACTTTTTTAAACCTATCAGCCTATACGGACACGTTTTAGTTATTTAAATAGTATTTTTTATCAACTAATGTTCACCGAAATATGCCATAACAATTTCAGTAATCCGTGCTTCCTTGAAAATACTGATATACTATCGAACCACCACCTTGATATTTCAATGGCGCAACCTCCGACTACAAATTTATTTCCAGTTTATGTTTTTCTTTCCGGACGCTAGAATGTTGGTGCTTGTACAACAGCTGTTAACATTGCATCGATTAACGTGTTATTCTCTTGTTTCGCAGGCGTGGACGCGCTGTCGTACGACACCAACAAAATCGCTCTCGACTACCACGGCATCGGCTTCAGGGAATGCTCGGCGGAGGTCGCTCGCTACCTCGTCGCTGTTGAAGGCCTCGATCTGCAAGACCCTTTACGTCTGCGTCTCTTGAGTCACCTCCAGTGCTACGTTGCTCAGCACCATCACAAGACCAGCTCTTCTTGGGTCTCCTGGGGCACTGCTGGGTCTTCCACTGGGTCTTACCCACACCCTGGGACTGCCATAGCGGGCTTCCAAACGCACTCGATGTTGACCCCACCACACCATCACACTCCTGGAGGTGTGACTTCACATTCAGGAGGTTTGGATCAAAGTCACATGTCGGCCTTTACTCCTCCTAGTCACGGACACGCAGATCTTTCCTGTGGGATAGCCGCAGGATCTGGGGGCATAACGCCTCATGTCACTCAGCTGACACAGCGGATACCCACAACGGGGGCTGGCGCTCCCCACATTCCCCATGTATCTATGGCAACCGCAGCGGCGTCAGGTCAACCATACCACGCCTCCTCATACCATCTAAACCTTAATGCTTTTTCCACGACTAACCAACAGCAACACATTCCTACCAACACGTCTTCCCCATCCACATCTTCTCTAGTTCCAAACATAGCAACGTCTAATATTCCACACATCGCCACATCGAACATCTCGAGCAACGCATCTCTGACGCACAGCCAGAGTGTGCACCACAGCGCTCTGCACGCGGGTTACAGCACAGCTCTGCACGCCGTTGCACAAGACTCCAAACCCTACCGACCCTGGGGGGCAGAAATAGCTTACTGAAGCGACGCATTCATTAATGATACTGAAGACTTACCAGTATATGCCATTTCTTGGAACTCTAAAGACTAAATGTAATCGAAGGAAGTATTACGTGCAGCTGTTTGTCATCTGTAGTGCTTCATTTTAAAGCAAGTGTTTTATAGGTTATTATGCCTTATAGAAAAATCAGTGTGGCTTATTATGCGCCATTAACTGGCCAAATAATTACGTGCCTTCCAATTGTCAGCTTCCATATCTCGCGCGACGTTCAGGATTTTCATATTAGATTTCATTCGTGCATCAGATTATTTCCCCTTGCCACATAGTAATTGCTATTCCATACGAAGTTTTCGTATGGAATTAAAATAATTTTCGCATTAAACTTATTCGCTAAATTACTAGAATAAAGTAAGTGTCAATTTGTATAATTCTGCGGGAAATACTCGCCTGATTGCAGCCAGGACAGGAGAATTGGAATTAATATATTTGCATGGATGCGTTTATAAATATTCCCGTGCAATCAGACCTGCACACAAAATTTCTGGCCAGATCACATCTTCAATATTCCATATTTACTGCTTTGTGTAAGTGTAAGAAATTTCCTTTTATTTTATAGAATAGTTGTATTTTCTGTACAGATATCTACACATATCGATAAGGTGCAATGATCTCGTTTCTATCAATATCCGTGTACAAAATAGTCATGTATATTTACGTACGTAACTTTTAAAAGATCTCAACGGCATTATAGTTTGTATATTTTGTACTTTTGTATGTTCATAGAACGAATGAAAAATATTCAAAATAAAAATAATATTATATTCCGGTGTTCTTTAATTCATCATGCGTGCCATTTTTCGCTGCAAGTTGTTCGTAAATACACCATGCCTTTTATTTCTTACCAGATATTAAGAATTGTACGGCAATATGAGTTTTGAACTCATAATAATTTTGATGACTTAGAAAACTAATTATCTTTATAGGTTGAAATAAGGTGCAAATACGTTTGTTCTCGCGAATAACCAAATTCGTTGAATTTGCAACATATCATTTTTACGCAAACAATTACAAAGGTTGATTGCAATACATTAAACAAAAAATTACCTATAATTTTCCAAAGATTTTCTTGGTGAAAAAGTAAATGTTTAAAAATTCAGATTTTTTAGCGTATTCCGTAGAATCCCGTTGGCATCGAATAAAACACGTGTCAAGTCCCATGACGGAAACGCTCAAATATTAACGGGAAAATCGTTCCAACGCTTGATGATCCATATGTCCGTGTGAGGTTCTCACGACATGCGGGAAAAGAAAATTTCTTTTTCCAAAATCAGGGATTAAAAATAGAAAATTTTTGATGGAAATCAAGATTTTGTACGGATTAATCCTAATGCCTCCCCGATAGAAATAAAAGTTATTTTAATATTATATCTAGGACATTTCAACAATGGTTTATTTCGAATATTGTCAGATATCAGAAGAAGTCGTGGCGATGATATAGTGTGGTTGGTTTTCCACGATAAATATTTTATTTAAACTCTATTTATACGGCAAAAAATTCTGAAATGTTAACTTTTGGTTTAACACGAAAAATATTTTGCATTCCCCGGACATCTTCAAATTATCAGACTTTTAACCAATTGATTCCGAAACTTCAAAAGTTTAATTTTAGTACCTTGCAGAGCATCAGTCTCGTAGACGTAATGGCATTTTGACAGTAAAATTTATTCACCAATAACCTGAAAAAATTGAAAGTTTTCAATTACAAAACAAATTTCACTTCTATACGTTATATCAAAATAACGCCAAAATGTCCTAATAAAACACTATGTTCAAATCAGAGTCGGGCACAGCCTGGAGCAGTTCTCACGCTAGCATTGTTTGCCCGCCGCTGGCCGCACATAGCGGCATAAGTGATGCGTGCTGCGTGCCAAATCCAGAGGTCATAATTCGACAATTGCCAGCTTAATTAAACCGTAGTTATAAAACTTTCCTATCCTTTCGCTTATAATGAGAGGAGTTTTAAAACTTTCTTACACATTCTTTTATAATGAGGAGAATTTTAAAACTTTCTTACATTTTCTTTCACAATGAGGGAAATTTCTTTTATAAAGAGGGAAGTTTTAAAACTTCCTACCATTTTCTTTTATAATGAGGGGAATTTCTTTTATAATGAGGGGAATTTTAAAACTTTCTTACATTTTCTTTCACAATGAGGGAAATTTCTTTTATAAAGAGGGAATTTTTAAAACTTTCTACAACTTTCGTTTATAATGAGGGGAATTTAAAAACTTTCATACATTTTTTTATAATGAACTGATTTTTAAAACTTTCCTACACTTTCTTTTATAGAGAGGGGAATTCTAAATTTTGTACAATTTTTTTTATAATGAGGGAAATTTCAAAACTTTCTACCATTTTCTTTTATAGTGAGGGGAGTTTTAAATTTTTACACTTTCTTTATAGTGAAGGGAGTTATAAAACTTTCTACCACTTTACTCTTACAATGAGGGGAAATATAAGCAATTTTACGATACAAATTGTTATTGAATGGATGTTTGACTTGATGAAATGATAATGTCGAAATCTATTTATTTATACATGCTGCTGGCAGAACTCCAACGAATAGGCTGAAAACCTAACTACCAATTAACAAGAAAACAAAGCGTTAAGTAAAATATTTTAATAGGCGTTGATAATAATTTCCATTCGCTGCTTATTGCAAAAACGACTATAGAAAACACAAAAATTGCTTTAAAACTTTATTTTTTGAACAAATTTCTTCGAATAATTTTAAAACATTTGAAAACATTAGCTTTTTACCATTTTTTCGTAACGGCTAGATTCATTTATTTTCCCAATGATCTTTTCTGTCTTCAAATTGTGCAATTTAAATCACAAAAATCAACAAGCTAACTTAATTTACTTACATTTCAACTTCCTCACTCGGGTAACTAGGAAACATTTATTGCAACTCCTCATTACACAGAAGGTCGCACAACAAAACCTTTATGGGAGCCCAGTCCTCCAAATCATTCAGACCTGCCATGAATAAAAAAAGCACACTCTCCGATTTCTACACCATTACCCACCCTTCGTTTTATTAATACAATCAAATCGAGATTTATTATTGGCGCCAGCGGCTGATCTTTTTATGCAGTAGGCCTAGGGCTCGTTAGCTTACATTATGGACAAGCCCTTCGCCACATAAGCAATGCGATCAACGCTGCTAGACTTACAACTGTTGCGCGCGACGTCACGTGCCGGAGGAGTAACGTGCTCGACGTTATGATTTATTGCTTGTAACTTATATACTACAGTACAACTGCTTCATGACAATACACTACAGTACAACTGCTCCAGTACAATACACTACAGTACAACTGCTCCAGTACAATACACTACAGTACAACTGCTCCAGTACAATACACTACAGTACAACTGCTCCAGTACAATACACTACAGTACAACTGCTCCAGTACAATACACTACAGTACAACTGCTCCGACATTAACTGGTGCTATGTAGGTATAGCTAGAAAAATGGTTAAGAGGATATGGAAATATACTTGATTAATACTGATAATTTTGTTAAAATAACTTTGAATTTGATCTTTCTTAGTTCGTTTTCTGGAGAGAAGACTTTTATTCCTTTTAAGATATAGAATTTATGTACAAAGAAATCTTGACTTATAGTTCTCACTCTTCAATGTCCCATCAGCTGGCAACTTAATTTCTTATTCAATCATAGCAAGTGGTTGGCATCGCGGTTATCATTTGTGAAATTAATTGAAGCAGTGAGTTGCGCGTTCGAAACCGCAACAAGCTGTGAATATTCTGAATGTGAATATTCTGAATGGGTGAATGTGTCGGCGACAGGCCTACGGCCTAATAAATGCTGAAATCGCTATTCTATTCTAAAATAACATGTAATTCATTAAATTTTTCCCTCTATCTAAGACGGCATAACAAATTTACACTAGCAACAAATAACAGATACATACATGTAGAAAATATACAATAAGTAAGCTATTTTTTTGGTAGTGCACTGTATTGTTCTTCTGCAAATACAGAGACACTTTCCTTCAAGAGCGTAAAGCTAACACTTCCATAACACATCTGATCAGCTCAGCCCTCTGTTAAAACAAGTGTTGTGTCTCTGTGGCCCCTGTTCTCTGATATGTTCGTACTTGTTGCGCACAAACATTGGTAGCTTTTTATAAAGTTGCTCAAATTAAAAATTTGGCATAAAATAAAATGAGCTACAAATTTGAATTGTCTCATTTGGTCATGTACAAATTTTGACATTAATTTTAATGTTCTCATTCACAGGGATTTTATAACGTTTAATTTTTGTTTTAGCTACAAATTTTAGTTGGAGTTTTACATAATTATTCATAAAAACGACCAGCACTTGGTGTAAGTGTTGTTTCTTATAGTCGTGGTTCCAACAGTGGATTCGGAAAAATCCGTTCAAGCTTTACACTATATGGCTAATGGCGTAGAACAACAATCGCACTTCTGCTCACAACATCTGCTCAAACCACCCACGCTCTTGTTCGTCAAAGACCACATTGCCGGCGCGTTAGGGAACCGTATTCTTATAATTGTATTGTGTGTAGACCCCGATAAAAAGGTTTTTATACCACAAATAGTTCTAGGACAAGCCTGATAATTCTAGCTCCCGACAGCGGGAAACATTTTCGCCGCATTTATGTATCGAACGATAGAATGAAAATTGAAGTTTTGAAGTACAGGAAAATTTTTGTATCACTATCGAGGTGATAATTTTTTTAGCATTTGTATCACTATCAAGGTAATGGATTTATATCATAAATTAAATTGACAGTCGTTATAAATGCATTATATAGCTAATGTTTTTTCACTCTATGTAATAATGTATCTTGATCTGAGCGAAAAACGTGAGCAGCTCTCATGACAAGAAAATTTGAAGGCCATGGTGTATAAATTGTCTGCACTTTGTTAACGAAGTAACGGATTCCATCGCATATATACTCGTGATCTTGAAAACAATGTACTCGCAACTAGCATGAGTACCAGATGTTTCTGCAGCAATTTACATCTCAGGAAGGAAGAACAAATGTGACATTTTTTCATATTCCTTTCGGAGCAATGTTTGTATCAATAAAGTATGTTACCTGCGATGCCGCTAGTCTTTTAAATTATATTATGTTGGTTGGTTGCATTAACCTATATTATGTTGACGAGTTCTCTACATGCGGACAGCGATGACCTATGTCGACTGAGATTACTTGCATGATTACTCATCATTGATCATAGGTCAGACCAGTCACGACTCGCGGCTTATCCATATCATAGATAGAAATTCAGAGAAATTTAAATTCATAGCCAGAACAATATCTTCGGAAAACCTGAACATGCAGATCTGCATGTTCAGGTTTTCCGAAGATATTGTTCCGAAGATATTGTTCCTGCGGGTATTCGAATACCCGCAGGAACTCAGTGTCTTTTTTTTGAATGATGGAGACACGTGGAGTAATAAAGAAAGTGTGTTAGGGGTCTCCATATTCTATAAGTTTTATTACAAATCAATGATGTCACAGAACCCTTTACCCTAGCTGCGGGATAGGGTAATACGAGCTAGGTAACGAGCCCATTTACCCCACATGCACTTATATAACAAGCGAGTTATTGTATTTTTACCACCATAAATGGGACAAGCTAATAAATTTGATTTACATTATTCCGCAGATAAACCAATATATTGAGCGGGTTGTGCTGCGACTGTCCAGGGAAGATTTCCGTAACATAAAAT